GTGTGTGTGTGTGTGTGTGTGTGTGTGTGTGTGTGTGTGTGTGTAAATAATTGTGTGTTATACATAAAACGTAAATGTCACACATTCCACACCGCATTAATATTGCTGTTGAGTAATGAACTGTGTTTCCTTTTAAATGTATGTCTTTTAGAAAGAAGTGTGAAGGACCCAAGGATTGAACGAGCAGTTGGAGTGGGAAAGAAGATTGTTGCTGCTTTTGGCCACAGCTGGAAGCGCCAGCGAGCTCTGCAGGCTACCCAAAAGGAACTGGGCCTACGAGAACACAAACTCATAACTGAATGTTGCACTCGTTGGGGTTCAAAGCAGAGAATGATCCAATGGCTGCTGAAACAAGAAAAAGCTATAACACAGGTTTTAGCTGCTGATAAAACCACAAGGCATCTCATGTTGACATGGCAAGACATTGAAGTGCTTGACTCGGTCAGCACTGCATTGAGTCCACTCCTAGAGTTTACAGATGCTTTCTCTGCTGAAGAGTATGTAACCATTCCATGTGTTAAGCCTGTTCTTCAGATGTTTAACAATGACATGTTAAAAGTAAAAGAAGGTGACACTGAGCTGACCAAAGACATCAAAACAGCAATACTTGACTACATGAACAAAAGCTACAAAGACAGTGTCACAGAGAGGCTGGTTGACATGGCTTCTTTCCTTGATCCACGGTTTCATACAGAATATTTCAGTGAGAGTGAAAGCGAAGCCATCAAAGTTCAAGTCATGAGTGAACTAGAGCATCTTGACCCACACCAGGGTAGCACAGCCACAGGTTTTTCAGAAACACCTCATACATCTACTGGTGACCAAACAAGTCAGCGAGCTGTTAAAAAGCTAAAGAAGAATCTCGGGAGTTTTTTGAAGGGACCAGTTAGTGGCAAGAAAGAGGTAACTGCAGAGAGGTTATCATCTGAACTGAGCAGTTATGTGAATAGTCCACCAGCAGACAGTGAGTGTGATCCTCTTTCGTGGTGGAAAGTTCACACAGTAAATTTTCCCCACATCAGCAGATTAGCTAGGAAATACCTCTGCATTCCAGCAACTAGCTCTGCATCTGAAAGGTTGTTCAGCACAGGTGGAAATGTAACTTGTCAAAGGTCCTCCCTTAAGCCCGCATCTGTGAACATGTTAGTGTTTCTGGCAAATAATCTTAAAAGTTGAAATGTAGAAAAACTTCCGGGAGCAGTAGCATAATTTATCTATGTTTTTGTTTGTTTTGTTTTTACTCAAGAGTTTGTGCAATATTATTATTTGACTTATTGATTTTGCACACTGCACTTTTGTTGCAAAGCACCTCTTAAGTTTTGTGGATATACATGATTATGGATAACCATGTATATAACAGTATTCAATTCAATTTTATTTATATAGCGCCAAATCTCAACAAAAGTTGCCTCAAGGCGCTTCATACGTATCATTATGAATACGCATTCATTCATAGTATAACCACTGTTGAATTTTGTGAGGCTGTAATGCACGTTAAAATAAACAGCTGCTTGTTTAAACAAAAAGAAATTGATGGGGTTTTTTCCCCACTAATAAAGTTGTAGAGTTGTATTTTGTTTTGCGTCAATTATATCGTCAGTTATATCGTTATCGCAAATTTTCAAATCTATATCGTTGTTACGGTCGCTGACCTCTAGTGGCTCTCCCTCTGTAGAAGAGGTTTTTTTTCTCCTTTTCTTGTGTTGCAGGTCTGCCTCATGAGCCACAGCTGAGGTGTGTTCCAGCTCGTCAGCCACGGCATATAGTCTGCCATCCTAAACTGCCACACCCCTGCCACTTTCCCCATTTTTGCCAGAGCTGTGAGCTGTAGTGTTTAGGGCAGCGGGCCTTAGTGTGTATGTGTGTGAGAACTTAAACTCTGGAACTTTGGTTTTCTTTCTTTTATTGTAAGCAAAGGTGTGCCCTTATTGTGTTAATTAGTTCATCATTGTGGAAGCAGGTAGGGGTTCTCTGCCATTTTGGTTTCAACTGTTTTCTCCTGTTTTTGGTTAGACAGGGAGCTCAGCCATTGTATTTTGTTTTGGTTAGTGAGTACTTGGTTTGATTTTTAGCTAAAGGGGGTGTTTTGTTTGTTGTTTTGGCCTTGGAGACCCTGAAGAAAAGAGCTTCCCTGTGTTTATTTTTACTGCAGTAGTTTTGGGCAATAAATCACGTTTAAATGACATCTATTCTCCAGTAGTTCATGTGTTCTCTTTCACTTTGTGTTACCCCTCACTCCAGTCAACACTTCGTTTTCAAGGGGGGGCGTAACATAAGTTGGGGCTCGTCCGGGATTAATTTTGGATATGGCACAGTTTAGCCTGGGTGATTTTTATAGCTAAGCCTGCATTAGACCAGCTTGATGCATGTAGGAAGGAAGATTTATTTGCCGTTGCCGCGCATTATGAAATCCCTGTGGCTAAGTCTATGAAGAAGAGCGAGTTAAAGTCTCTTGTTGTCAGTGGGTTGGTTGGGAAAGGTGTGTTCCCTTTAGACGTGGACTCGGGGGATGACGCGTCAGACCTCGAAACCTCTGATCAGCCTGAGGTTTGTGCTGAGGAGGGGGCGGGGACACCTACAGTGGTCAAACCAGGTGAGGGAAAGCCACCAGCCTCTCTTCCACGGTTTGAGCCCTTCTCTGTCGAATCCAGTAATCCCAGTGTTAGTGCACGCTTAAAGGTACGTTTAGCTCGTCTTGAACTTGAGGCCAAAGAAAGGGAACGTAAGGATGAGCTTGAGTTCAAGCTAAAGTGTCGGCAGCTAGAAGCTGAGACATCTATTAGGTTGCGTCAGCTGGAGTTGCAAGCTAACAAATTGTCTCCTGAGCCTTCTGCTCCATCTTCAGTGAAGGATGAAGATAACAATAGTAATCCTTCAGATAATTCTCCCCCTGCTTGTGCACCGCCGACATTCGATGTAGGCAAAAACATTGCCCTAGTTCCACCATTCAGGGAGACTGAGGTGGAGGCCTATTTTAATGCGTTTGAGCGCATTGCTATGGCTTTACATTGGCCCAAGGAGGTTTGGTCCCTTTTGCTTCAGTGCAAATTAATTGGTAAGGCACAGGAAGTATGCACAGCTCTCACTATCGAGGACAGTCTTGTGTATGACAATGTCAAAAGCGCTATACTCAGAGCCTATGAGTTGGTGCCTGAAGCCTACAGGCAGCGTTTCAGGACCCTGAGGAATGGTAAATGGTAAATGGCCTGTATTTATATAGCGCCTTACTAGTCCCTAAGGACCCCAAAGCGCTTTACATATCCAGTCATCCACCCATTCACACACACATTCACACACTGGTGATGGCAAGCTACATTGTAGCCACAGCTACAATGGGCACACTGACAGAGGCGAGGCTGCCGGACACTGGCGCCACCGGGCCCTCTGACCACCATCAGTAGGCAACGGGTGAAGTGTCTTGCCCAAGGACACAACGACCGAGACTATCCAAGCCGGGGCTCGAACCGGCAACCTTCCGATTACAAGGCGAACTCCCAACTCTTGAGCCACGATCGCCCCACTGCTCAAACATTCCTTGAGTTTGCAAGGGAAAAAGGGATACTATTTGATAGGTGGTGTCAAGCAAGCAAAGTTTCAGAGTTTAACGCATTGCGTGAACTGGTATTGTTGGAGGAATTCAAAAACTGTGTTCCTGACCGTACAGTGCTGTACCTGAATGAACAAAAAGTTGCCACTTTGCAGGAGGCAGCTGTCCTGGCCAAAACTACACGAGGGGAACTGGTCAATGACCTGAAGAGAGCTGGGACCACAGTAACAAAGTTCACTATTAGTAACACACTACGTTACTAATAACTTCTGCTTAGCTTTCCGAGCTTCCCTCGGGTCCTCTTAATTGTTGTGATGCGTGTTCGAAATGCAGAGAGGTGCGCTCGATTTGCCACACGGAGCAGCGCGAGAGTAAAGCACGAGGGAGGGGCTAATAATCGGCTCAGTCATTTTTAATGATCGTTGAAAGCCCAGATCGTAATCGTGATTAAAATTCTCCCTATGCAGTTACACTTCAATAGGTCTAAGCTGCTCGAGGCTACCCATCAGTGTTACTTTTTCACTCACCTTTTTTTTCCTACTTCATATGTGTTTATACACCACTCTGCATTTAATCAGTAGTTAATGTTAATTTCTGCCAACATGTCTATGTTGTGTCTTCCTCCCCTCACCCCCAAGCGGTCACAGCCCTGCCTGAGCCTGGTTCTGTTTGATGTTTCTTTCTGTTAAAAAGTTTTTTCCTTCCCACTGTCACCAAAATGCTTGCTCATAGGGAGTCATCTGATTGCTGGGGGTTTCTCTGTTTTATCTTGAAATTGCACTAACTTAAATTAGCTTAATAAAATATATTTTACTCAAGTATATTTTGTCAGTCCCCTTAAAACAACATCAGCAAAACATCTTTGACAAAAAAAAGCCATAGATGCTATATATGCTACATACAGGCTGAATACAAGCTAGTAGCTGTATTCAGACTGTGTTTAATTTTAAGCCATTAAAACACACTCAAATAGCAATTAGAATATGTTTTATATTTGCTAAATTGACTCAGTCTTTATAAAAGAAAATTCCTAAGATAAGCCTTTGAAATAGCTGAAATAAACCAATTTAGCATAAGCTAGAAACCTTAGCTAGTACTAATAAAGTCATCAGAGTCTACCAGAAATATTCAGGATTTCACTCACTGATTCCACTTCTTTGACTTCTTCTAACAGTAAAAAAATATGTTCATGCTGCATGCTTGTTTCATGTTAGCAGTCTTTGTGTTTATGAACTCCCTACATTGTGTTTTTCATGCATTTGTTCAGGAATCTAACTTAAATAAATTTTAAGTCTTCATCATCCTCATTTCCTAATGTTTAGCTCACTCTCCGTCTGTTTTGCACACTTACACACAGCCTTGTGCACGCTTTAGGAAAAGTTCATAACTTGCTCGTGTGCCAAGTAATTAATAACAAATGCAAAACAAAAGGGAAAAATTCTGGTAGACCTACCTCTGCTTTCTGTATGCCAACTTTGTGAAATCGAGAGGGACTGTGATATTATGCCACTACGTGTAACGGAAAAGCGTCTGCTTCCTGTTCTTTCAAAGTAAAAGCTCAAAGAAAACAAGTTCCAAAGCAGCTTTATAGTGAAGCAATTTATTTCAAGTTTTGTTTTGTTTTTTATAGATATAGTATTTCCTGTTATTTTAACAGTTGTAAAATAACCGTGTTTCTGTTTTTAAATAAATAATGATTGGTTAAAGCTGTCAAAGGGATATTTAGGGCCAGCAAAACCATCCTTTGACATTAAAATTCTATTGACTTTTATAAAATTGTTAAATTTGCTAAATCTAAATAATATGCATATATGAAATACATACAGTAAGGATATAGCAGCAGACCTAGGTTTTCAATACTAAATTTGTAATATAGCTAGATAGATGTATTAAAGTAAATGTATTCATTTAGGAATTTTTATTTCACTCTTCCTTTTTATTCTTACACATTTAATTACACCTGCGTACAACTGCCTCCCCAAAAGCCAGTGGGTAGACAACAAAGGAAAAACATCAGCTGGTCGACCAGTCTTGGAGCTATTTTGTTGCTGCATGTCTGGCATCAGTCTGTCAGAGTTTGTTAGTTTACCCTGCATCCCTCATCATTACGCACCTGAGTCTTCATATTCTTTATAGTTGATAGCGCTGTCTTCCAGTTTTAATTCAAGAAAGGGGCTTTAAAGAGCCCAGGGAGCTTTTTTTTTTTCTTTTTAGAAAGAGACAGCCCTGTTCGCATGTAGTAGTCTTTTATAGATATGTAACATCTGCATCCCCTTGCAATGGCTGGCATGAACGACTTGGATTCATGCTAGCCATTGCTGTTTCTCCAGAAATTTCTCTCAAGAAGGCACTGGCCACTCCACCTGCATCCTGATTTCTAAAAGAAAAACCTCCACCCATTTTGAGATCATATCAACAAACACCATGCAATATTATAAAATACAATAATATCTTATACCTTCACATTGTACAAGCTCACTGAAGCCCATTTAAAACCAGAGGTGATAGTGCCTTTGAGGGTGTGACACTCAAACTGTGAAACAGCCTTGCTCAGTCAGTCAGGTTGGCTGACTCTGTTATTTGTTTTAAGTGAATGCTGAAAACTCATTTTTATAAGTTATCATTTCCTTAATCCATCCCCCTGCATTTGCTGCCATAGTTTGAAAGCACACGTGCATGTTTGTGTGAATGTCTGTCGTTATGGCTGATTATGTGTGTTTGATTTAACATGCACACTTATCCTCAATATGTGGTTTTTATTTGAACTGTGAAGCACTTTCTAACCCTGTTTTATTAAATAAATAGTCATTATTATTATTATTATTATTATTATTATTATTTGTAGTTTATCAAAAGGCCTATCCTGGTGTGCCTCTAGTCTGAATACCTGTCCCAGGATTGTTAGTTGCATAAAACAAGAATTGCAAAACATTTTGAGAATAAATTTGGAAACTCTTTGTAAACTAGTGTTGCTGTTGTACCACCATGACTTTTGACACATGCAGGGATAATGAGTAAAATAATGTTTGGTTTGTCATTGGGCCAATACCAGACCTCACCTGTTATATAAGCCCGTGTGGTTTTCCACACGTTTCTGGAGTAGCTGTGATGTGGGCAGTCTGTAAATTGTGTTAGACGAGGTTCGTTTATTTGTGATGTTAATGTTGTGGTCTTCACATTCTGTTGATCGCCTCCCTCTGGCAGTAGCAAAGCATCCACTAACACACTGATCTTGGACATTTACTTCCCAATTTATGATTTGGAGCACACCTGTGCCATTTTCCTGATGATTAACAATGTATTGTCAAGCCACCTGCTATTTTTTATACTATGAGCAATACAGAGTTTCAAACATATGATGCTCAAAAAAAACGTAAAGGATCACCTTGACAACAAATCAGAACATAATCATGCATGTGTTTTCCTCCCAGATCTGATCCAGGGCGTCACTGAGCTCCTGGCTAGTGTGGGGGCCAGTCAATGGTATCACCTCCTTGATCCTCAAGTCCCTACTTCCATATTTTTACCACATGAGGCCAGGCAATGTTGTGCACCAGGAGGACCCCAGAACCCATTACACCTGCATAGGATCAGGATTTCATCCTGAGAACTAATGGCAGTCAGCATACCATTACCTTGCCTATAGAACTTAGATGGATATGCCTCTCCAGACCATCATTGATACACCACCAAAGCAGTTATGCTGAACGATGTTATAGCTTCTCCAGATCCATTCACAAATGTCACATGTGCTCAGTGTGAAGTACAGGGCAGCAGTGGTGAACCTGCTAAGCCTGATATTCTATGGGAAGTGCCAGTGAGACTCCACAGAGTCCGGCAGTTAGCACAGTGCCTACAAGAGCACGCCAGTTCTTTAGGTCACCCTCGTGAAGTCTTTTACTGATTGCTTGGTCAAAGATATTTACACCAGTGGCCTGCTGGAGGTCCTTTTGTAGAGCTCTGGCAGTGCTCATCCTGTTCCTCCTTGGACAAAAGAGCAGATGCTGCAGTCCTTCTGATTGATTAAGGACCTTCTAAGACCTTGTCCAGCTCTCCCAGAGTAACTGTCTATCTCCTGGAATCACTTCCATGATCTTGACACTGTGCTGGGAAAGACTGCAGACCTGGCAATGGCACGTATAATGTGCCATCCTGGAGGACCTGGGCTACCTGTGCAACCTATGTATGGTCCATGTATTACCTCATGCTCCCAGCAGTGACACTTAGCCTTGCCAAATCAGTCAGACTACTGTCTCACTGTTGCTTCCTCCAGTGCACCTGTTACTAATTTCATTAACACCAACCTGCTGAAACTGATTAACAACCCCCTCGGCTGCTTAACTGACCAGATGAATATCCCAGAAGTTAAAATGGTTTGATGCTTTACTCTTATAAAAAAGTGTCCTTTTGATTTTTTTGAGCCGTGCATAACAAAGCAGCTGTCTGTTCTCACATAAACTGCTTCATATTCTCTCTGTCTTTCTCACTAACAGTGAAAAAAGAAAGAAGTACAAATTAAAATGCATCATGACTCCGGCTGTCATTCTGTGTATATTCATGATTTGGCCTTTGGCTTGTCCTGAATAACACATGAAATTGGCACCTTTGATACACAGCAGTGGTTACCTGCATATGAATTTAGGTTCAATTTAGTATATAGAAGGGTCACTGAATACAGAGGGAAAAACACCTAAATGAACCCATTTGACTTTGTATTTAAGCAGAAAAAAAGGGAAGGAAATGTGCAAGTAAAAAAGTCCCGCTTAGATCTGCTAAATCTGTGGATGTGCATGTGCACATGACGCCTTTCTGGCTTATTTAGTGATCAATCCTGTGGCTAAATGCATTAGGCGGTAAAGACTGACTCATCGTGAATAAACTCAACCTGTGTGCCTGAAGAAAGCTGACAAGCTGATGCCTGTGGGACAAAATGTGCTGTCCTAATCCCCCAGCTGTGCCATCCTTTTTGTAAAAATGTCTACTTTGTATTTTTTCAGAGTGTTCTCACTCTCACACTGATGCTAGCTCATGAACCCTTGTTATTAAAGGTTCGACTTTGCTAGGCATATTGTAACATTTCAGATTCTCGTAAGTAAGCTGCTGGTGGACAATTTTTATGGCTCTGACATTATTCCCCCTCCTTCTTCCTGACACAAATAGCCTGGCAATATGTTGATCCCTTTCCAGCTCATTTCACGTAATGGCCTATAAGCTGATATCAGAGCATCAAACTTTCTTGTGACAACATCCATGGATATAACATCCTCAAGGAGCTGGTTAGTTTAAGTCCAAGATGTAAAGCTGTTCTGAATGGGAACTAAAAGGCTAAACTGAAGTCCAGTTCTTTAGATATGCCTAGCACACTGACAAAGAAGTCTGGCTCCATAAATTAGCAATAATATGCTCACACTACATCAACAACTTGTAGCATATCCTCTGACTAAAATCATGCGAAAGGCAGAATATTCTCTTTTTCTAACAACAACCAGAAGTTAAGAGAAATCAAACTTTTCCTCAGCCTTTTTTGTTCATTTCTAAAATTGGACATCTAGATTTTCTAATAAATTTGCAGTTTGTGTTTTGTAATGAAAAGCCACTTGTCATCAGCTGTTTAGGCTGGTGTATAACCTCTAGGCATCTCAGCCAGCTACATGTCTAACAATGTCAACAACTGCTGGATTTCACTGAAAGGACAAGCTATCATACTGTCATAGCTATAACACAATCCATACTGACACCACAGTGCCTAAAACAAACTCTGACAATCCAGCTCAGCGTGTCTTTCTTTTCAGTGTCACTGGAGGGACTTGCACAGAAAGCACGCAGAATTAACAGGATAAAACATTGGCTCCAAGAGCTGAAAACAAGAACTCGTTTTTATTTAAATGTTTTTGCCCTACTGAGCACAGCTGCAGGCATACATAAAACACCCCTGATTGTAATGTTTAAGGAACATCTGTGGACATGTGTAATATCCACATCACACACTGCTATTCTTTCTATCATCTGGTAATTGTTTTTTAACCATTATCAAAAAAGACAGACAAAGATATTCTTCATCTTTCCTTCTTGTTCATCATTGTGTTTTTGCCCCCCAGATCATAGTAAGAACAAGCAAAAGGTCAGGGTGATCATTTAATATGGATCTGTCCTGTCAGGTGCAGGCAAACAGCTGCTCAATAAGGTTTTGTCATTCATGAAAAACTAAAATGCCATGAGACGCCTGCTTGCTACTAAATCATTCAATTAATCTCCTGAAATGAGGAATATGAGTTCATTAAAATGCCGGTAATGAAATTACTTTCCAAAGTCCAAATGTTCACTGAATCAGGCTCTGTCAAGCTGTGTGATTCGCCGTGATTGCTGGAATAGATTCAAAGAGCCCTATCTGATTTATCGCTCAGTGAAATGGAATCTTTCACATGAAATTATGTTGCCTCAGCCTTGTGTTTTAATTGATCAGAGGCTGAAATGTTTCATCAGTCTAAATTAGCATATTTAATTTCCAGTGGATTGGAAATTAAATATTTTTGG